AATGCACTATCTGGGTGAGCAGTGGGAGCAGTGAGTACAAGAGAGCCCAATACTCACTAAATAATCAAGGAAAATAGGAATTTTTTTTCTCTACTTTTACTCCTTCTTGTCCTTGTCCAATCCTATTTAAGATTACTGTTAGCAGTCTAGAGGGATTTGTATGGCTGAGACTGAGAAACTGTAATGGTTCTGAAGGCAAAGTAATACTCAGTAGTCCATTACAGCTCAAAGGACTTATCTCTCACACTGATAAGTGTCCTCCAAGGAAGCTTCACTGTAAGCAAGACCTCTCCCAGGGAGACACCAGAACACTGCCCGGGACACAGCCAGACAAGGTAGATACATGTGGACAGCTATTTTGTCTTAAAACTCATCCAAAGATGAAGAATTACTTTTAAAAGCTGTGTTACTGAACCAGGCTGTCCAGAGAAGTGTCTTCTGAACTCCCAGGAATGAGGTGACCCTTTTCTTATTTTTATTAGCATTATTAAGAGTTTGGCATGGAAAAGTGTTTTGGTCAATGAATGCCCAGATGGTGTTGCCAGCATGAAATGCCCTTCCAAAGGTCATAACAGTTCAAGATATTTTGTTATGATTTAATTAATGCAAATTGAAAATGCAAGCAGAGAAAATCATGTTCAATATGTCAAAAAAATGACAGAAAAAAATAACTGTGATCAATATTATTATAAGTAATGCCAGCTCCATTACAAAACTGATTAAATAATACTTCAAATGGGGTTAATAATCTGCAAAAGGGAGTTTTAAGTAAAAACAATCAAATTAAAAACTATTTGTAGGAAAGTATTTACCCTCTACAGGTTGTAGGTATCAGAAAACACAAACAGTATCCGAGTAAGATAAAAGTTCTCTACACAGCTTCCAGCAAGAAATGTGTGCAAGGGAATCAAGAAGTAATGTCTTAGCCATAAAATCAGCATGCCTATGCTCAAATGCATCTATAAAACCACAATATGAAAGTTTGGTACATCTTACTGCAGCATAGCAAGGAATCAGGTAACCAATGAGGAATTCTGAAGAGCTGTGTAGGGCATCAAAGGTACCACCTGTGACTGCAGGAGTGGGGAATACACACCCCAACAAAATGGGATGGGGGTCAGTTCAACATGAAGACACTGAAAGGCAGCAGCCTGTCTGCATACAGGTGTTCTCACAGGTGAATCAGGTGTCTGTGTCCTCCAAGTGCCAAAGCAGAGCTGACATTCACAGTCAATGAGGTATAAAGGCAACTCGGCTCACCCTACATAAATATCTATATTTTGCAGTCAAGTTGGTGGGTGTAGAGGAGATGGAAAGACAGATGATGGATGAATGCTAGGTGAAATCAAAGTTTTATTTATAGTTGTAGGCCTACTCATATTTGAAAACTAGGGGATAGGAGGTTGACATAAAAAGAAAGAGAGGGTTAAGATACGATAGAAACTATGGCTTGGGATAGATTACTAATGAAATGAGTGAATTTTTTACAGGAAATAAGTGAAACTTTACATATTTGATCCCAGGAAATTTCAAGAGCTGTTTAATTCCCAAATTGGATACAGGAGAAATTGTTGATTTTTCTCCAGAATAAAAGTTCCCTAAAATGAATTAAAGAATTTGAAAAAATTACTTGGTACATTTCTTAATTAAAAATGAACTTTCTAAAACCTGTGATATTTCATGTCATTACAGCTGAACTGCCTTTCAATATTAAACTATGTTTCTTACTGCCTTATGGACTCATCATTCTTTTCTATATTCTCTGCTGAAGAACAGACTCAATTAGAAGACTGCTCACATAACATACCTGTAATCATGCAAAGCCTGTGAATCTGCTATGTTATATGACTTTTATGACTTTACAGAAATTTAGCAATGAGGGAATCTAGCTCACATGCAAAGGGGGCAGAACTATAACTTCTCTAGTACTCTACACATCATAATTGTTTAACCAATTTTGATGCAAAAAAAATATTAAAAGTAGTATTTAAATTCAGAAAACCAAAAATATTTAACTTATATTTTCAGCAGGGAAGAAACAATGATTTCTATTAAGGTCAAGATTTTCTGGAGGAAATCAGAAATGTGTACAAAATTGCAGCTGTTATTGTAGAAGCTATTTCAGCTTATTGCTATTATGAAACTCAGATTGGCACCATAAAAACAGAGCACAAGAGGCAGTTCTTGCTTCAAAGGCCTGCCATCTAAGTAGGTCTGATAGAGCAAAAGTCAAAGTAATTTGCTGAAACTCACACAGAAATTCCACAACAGAGATACAGAAATAAAGATCATCAAAAATCATTAAAATCTCCTGACCTACAAAGGGATTTAGAGCAGTAGGTGTCATTAAAGAAAAACAGAAGGAGTTTACAGCATGTAGGTGAAGAAAGCTTGACTTGGTAGAGCTTGTCAATCTCTTGGCAAAAGCATGTGAAAATTTTTTAAGAGGAGGGATGTGCTGGAAGGCTGATTCAGATTTTGTGAAAGGAAATGAGCAAGCTCTGGGATTTGCAGCTACAAAGCCAGAGATAAGGAAGAAATCATATTTGTCAAAGGAGCATTGAAGAGCAGAATGTGGAAGAGAAGAAATGCCCAGAGCAGAGGGGCCCTCAATGTCACCAGCCCAGAACATCAGGACTCTGATGTCGTGCTCTGCTTGGACATTGTCTGGTGTGGGAACTGTATGCTGGGGGCAGAATGAAGAAGGAGGATTTGTCAGGATTTGCACTGAAAGGAGAACACAAAAGTCGGGTTCTTCACAATCAAAACCTGATAGCAGAATCTGGTCGATGATAAAGACATCACAGGGTATCTCAGGGCATCAATACAAATTTCAGATGTGGTAAAATGAATGTCAATGAAAAGCAAGAGTTATGCATGTAGTGATAAAGTATCAAGGTAGGTATCATTTCCTATCTAAACACTGATGTCTTTCTTAAATTTTGTTTCTTTGAGTAAAATATGCCAGAATAAATCACAAAGTGTAACAGAAAAGATGTTTGGCATAAAAAAGTCTACCAAGCCATAGCTGAAATTAATTATTGAAGTTAGATTAAATTTAAACAAAAATTACAAATCCCTGTGTGCTCTAACAAAGTTTCTTGTGTTGGACCTGCATGGTAAGGTACAGTAATTCTAAAGCATATAAGTGATTCTGAAGAACTTTTTCCTCTGCAAGTATTAGATTAAAAAAAAAACCCAAAAAACAACAAAAAAACATTTTTGAAAAACAGAAGAACCTTAGAAAAGATAGGATGTTGGAAGAACAATCATTGTAAGAACAGAAAATCTCTCCCTAAAGTCGTTTATGTATCACTCCAAGTACTTTGCATTAATGAGCTGAACAACCTTAAAAGAACAACATGACCCAGCATACTATAGTGATTCAGTAATCTAGTAGTCAAATAACTATAAAATAATGTTTTTTCTTTAATGCGCTGATCTTAATTTTAAATTGTTTCAGACACTTAGGTATTTTTTTCATATCTCAGTGCTATTCTGATCTCAGTATACAACATTTAACAGAAAAAGGAAAAAAAAACCAACACATATTTACTCCAACTAACTCTGTGCAATGTTACTCCACAGATATTTGTAGGTTTTTTCCCTGCTTTTTCCATTAGTATTATGTAAGGAGCAGGCTAAGATATAGGTTCATATAAGTAATGTGAGAGATTTAGAAAGCAGAGCTCCTGTGCCCTTGTTTTGTTTCAGTATCAGACCTCTATTGTAATCACTGTAGAATTTAGTCTCGGAGCTCATGTTGTCCGTGCTCGAATAAGCATCACAAAATCATTCAGACATGTAATTTCTGATGTCAGAAGAGAACGTCAGAATTGCTGCTGAAATAAGGAAGCTATTTTTGGAGTATAGCAATCTTTCAAAAGAAAGCCATTTACAAAAAAATCCAGCCCAGGAACATTTTTTACCAAATCACTGACCCTGCAATTCATACAGCCAGTGACTCCTCAGTGATCTCCTAATCAGCCTTGAATTTCCTTTCTGTTTACAGTATTTACATTAACCAAATTAATGTATTTTGGAAAATTTAAAATAAATCAGATGTGGTACATGAAAACTTACGAATACATCTAAAATATTTAAAAATTATTTGAATTAATTCATGTAGAATGCATCCATTTAATGCTCTGTATCTCACAACAATAAAATAAGTAGCAGTCTTTAGAGATCATAACATCTTAACTGACTAATCGAACTGACATGGAAATATAAAACAATGAAAAAAACCTTTAGCAGAAACAGATGATTACAACACATTCTTGCCTTGACTTTATTAAATGCTTTTAAATACTGATAAACTTTACCAGAGAAAAATTAGAAATTATACTGATATGATTTGTATTATTTCAAATCTCTGAATCTGTCAATATAATAATCTCTCCTGCAAAGCAGCTACAGCTCCTTTAAGCATCCTCAGCAGTATGTATGCTTTTAAATTTTAAAGCATTAGCAATGTAGTACCCCCCAAATCCAGCCTTGAACTCTGACAGACACTGATCTCTTTTCTCCCTCCCACACCCTGTTTTATCAGACACTATTTTGTTTAAATTGGCTATTAAATAGCATAGCACTGTACCTTTAAATACAAATCAAACAATATTCATATTCCCACGGTGCTGCTAGTTTCCCTTATGCATTGAATCGCCTGTAGATTAAAAGCTCAGAATCTGAAAAGGATTCTGTTCTGCAGACCAAAGTTCTCTGTAGAAGATGAGGGAGAGGGTCAGTCCCGGAGTCACACACACAACAGGCAGAAAACACACTTGTGATCCTCAGCTTTGGATAGCATCAGAAAGGGGAATAAAAAGCAGAAACACATGGCACACTGAGAACTGGTATCACTTATGGCTTCTAACCAAAGCAGCAATTAAACACCTTTCATCATTCCCCCAAATGCCTGATTTTTGTAAGAACTGAAAGAGACACACACACACAAAGGAAAATCCCCTCTGAGCAGCAAGGAAAACTTAATCACCTACCATTTTCTTTGCACTCTTCTGGAGGTTTAGCCTTTTTCGCAAGTCGTGGATCCAGCCATGATGTTGTCTTTGTGTTATGGCTGAAAAGAAAAGAGATCACTCTGAGCAGACACATACTGAAAGGAATCAAGTTTATTCCTTAAGAAAAAAGGGTTAGTCCAACAAAATTGCAATCGATACACTTAATTTGCTTACTGGTTCTAAGTAGCCCTGAAGGAGGTGTAAGAGTAATTGTGCAAGGCAGTTGTAAATTTGGCAACCTCAGCTCCCTGTCCTCAAAGCAGCTATTTTTATTAAAATCAACTAGAATGTTGCCAAGTTAACCTCATTGAAAATGCAGAACTCATCCAGAGCAAAAGGAATTTATTACAAATACAGTGTTCTCCCGTTGATCGAGTGCAGGCGACAGGATTTTGTACCATTCTCGCAGTTTTCGGATAGAATTATTTTCATCTTAAACCTGTCCTTTTCATAAATACAGGTTTGTTATTTCTCTCCAGCAGCAGTGACAAGGCATAGCAAAAGTGATGCAAATTACAGCATGCTCCTGCAAAGTCTACATTTCCGGACAGGGTGATTAATGATACTTTGTTTAACAAACCTTTATCTCTCCATATATAATCCTCCTATAGAGATAAAATAGATATGCACAAGCTGAATGAATCATGTGTCTCCTTTCTGTACTCAGAATAGATCTTTGAGAAATCAGCCATCAAAGAGTACTGAACTAGCAAAAATTGTTTTTTGGGAGATTATTTTGCCAAATGAATTGATACTTAGCACAGCTAATGAGACTTAATGCCAGATCCTTTCAATGTATACCTTACCATAAGCAATGAAATTTGGAGCCAAATATTGTAAATATATTAAAGAAGACTATAAAGCAGAAAATTATGTGATCATTACTCCTTGATTTTTTGAGATGCCTTTCCTACAATACCATCATTCAGAGACATTTCCAACCCATGTTCTATTTATCTGAGACATCCTAGAAGGAAGCTCATTCCATACAATACTGAATTATTTTGTTTATTAATAATTTGCTCTGTCATTTTAAAGTGTGCTCTCATAAGCATTGGTATAAGGTGTACAAAAATAGGTGACCTAGCAAAAAAATGATTAGGATGTAATTGTTTGTGAGTTTGCTAGTTACTGATACAGTCCATGTGATCCCAACACTACTGGTTCCTCTAGGGAAAAATAAATAAATAGAACCAGTTCCTTCTCCCACCTTTTCTTCCGTGGCAGATAAATTTTCCGCTGCCTCAGTTTCTCTCTCGCTCTCAAAACAGTGACAGTACCTACTTCTCAGCATAACTGTCACCATGTTAAAGCTTCCTCCACATTTTGAATGGGAAAGAAGGTACAGCAGAGTTATGTATGGATAAAATGGCAACGAAAATGAAAATTGGGGCATTTAAATGATTTTTTCTTAAAAGCATTATCTAGTCTAGAATACCATTCATGACAGGTGAAGATGATAAACAAACCCTTCCCTTTGAGAGCTGAGCTATATTTTCAGAGTATGAAGAATGATGAGCCAAAGGTAAGATGAATTTGAAATTATGCCAGCAGCCTGTGCTTGATTGCAAATGTAACTAAGACACTTTCTCAGAAGCTCTGGCTGCCTGTGGTCTCCTGTAGGATGCATTTTTATGCTGCAGTCGCAGCCCAACCACAGTTGTTCAGACATACTTGAGCTAGCTTTAAGTTAACTGGGGGAGATGCTCCAGCAGTGTCAGTGCTGCAGGATGGAGCTCAGCGTGGGCTCATCAGCCCAGCATCCATCCACTGAGCTCCTTGGGTGCATCCAGCAGCCCATGCTGAGCTCCACACCACCAAGGATACCCTGCTAGCAGTGCCAGAGCTCAAGAGTGAGCTTGGACACTCCTGTGGGAGCTGCAGTTGCATCTCTGGAGTGTGGGCATGTCTGGATGGCAGCCACTCTCTCCCAGTTCTTAATTCTGAATTATTTTAGGGACCCCCACTGATTGCAGGGAGTAAGTTAGAATCACAGATAGTATCCTACGACTTTAAAAGAGCAATGTACATGATTACTACTAGCAACCTTTGATGTGGTATAGAGCAAATCTCAAAGCATTTTACAAAGGAAATAAAAATAACTATCCCTGGTTGAGAGGCAAGAAAATGGAGTCACAGAGTCATGAAATTACTGTCCAGAGCCACCAAACAAGCCAGTGACAGCAGCAATACTAAAAGCCAGCTCTGTTGCAAGTCAACTGGCCAATGTCCACCCATCAGACTAGGCAGGTCCACCAGCCCTGAAAATCCCCTGTAATATTTTTAGAAAGAGTTTTCAAGTATCTGCAAATACAGGTGCCAAGCTGGAAACAAGCACAATTCAATACCGATATTTAAAAATGAGAAGTAGTTGAATTACAGCCTTCAAAGCTTTAGTTGAAACTGAGAACAGAAAGCAGTTACTCTTCCCTTTAGCATAAATGTGGCTTCCACAAACCCAGCAGGACTGATGTCCCACTTTTGTGCAAGATGGTCACTTTAAATAAAACCATAAAAAACCTAAAAAATCAACAGCTCTTCCAACAGAAGAGTGATCCTTCAGTCTGCAGTGAGATTTCATAGAATGGAGATGATATTTCATTTAGATCAGCTCTTAGAGCACTCAATATCCTCTTCTAGGTGATATCTGTTAAACCTGTTCAGCTACTTAGAAAAAGCAAAACTCATCCACAAGAACTTTTGTCTATAACAAATAATTGCAGGAGCAAATAACCTTTTGAAATTCATCTCTCTTTTCCTTGCTGTGCCTTTTCTCTTGCCCTGCCTCTCCACTTTATAATCTGTACTAAACATTCAATGCAGCGGGACTAAACAACTCTAGCAATGGGACTTCAAAAGCTCCTAGACAAGTACTCTAGTGGGTAAAAAATCCTTTCCTGCTCTGAAAGCAGGACTTGAAAGAAGGCAGAACAACCCCACCTGACTTCTAACACCTCCACAGTACCACCAGTGTCTTCCTAGTGTTTGCTTGGATCATCTTAAGCAGCCAGGTACACAGCACACAAACACTCCTTTGAGGAGGATATACACTGCTTTCAGTAAAAGAGGGAAATGAGTAGCCCTGGAGTACAGCATTGTGGTTTTTTATGCATCTCTATTTCTGTCCTGCATAGGAGGTTTACTTGGCAGGGTATTCTTCCAGTCTCCCTTGTGTCAGCTATTCTGTCTTCAGCTCTGCAAAGGACTAGAATGTGTAAAAGCTAAAGGGCGACAACCTTTATCTTCTAAACTGTTTTTAATAAAATTTAAAGGAAGCCTTGATAGAAAGCTTCAACCATGGGAGAAGAGACAGAAAGAGCAATAAATTTGTCAAATTAACATTAATGGCAAAAGTAACATTAACACAAACCTGCTGCATAGGCTGTGCACACTGAATGCTTAAGTACTAAAAAAACCTTGTAGGGGGCATAACCTGCCTACCTTATCACTAGGTATAATCATGTGTGTCCACTTGGGAAGTCTTGTAGAAAGACCAGAAGGAAAAGGGGCTGGGGGTTTAAAGATTAGTTATGAATAAACAGCAGCTGAATTGCAGCAGCAGTTCTCTCAAACAGGCATTTGGAGTTGTCAGTGATGGAACAAGAACAAAGTGATGCCACAAAAGCATCCTGTAAGAAATACAGCTGTGGCTCCAGCAACATCTTACACTGACCAATGCTTCATTACTTGGCAATAACTATACCTTATCATTAAAAACATGTCTAGAAAGCCCATAATTTCAATGGTTTTGATTACTAGTTAGGACTATTGAGATAAATGCTGGCAAATCAACAATGTGTGTCTTAGAATCTCTCTAAAAATCAACAGTAAAATCCTAATTCTTGAAATTTGAAAGCAAAATTTCCTTTAGAAATGGATCACTTTGGTCTTGCTTCAAGCAGGTAAAGCATGGAAAGGTTATAACTTTTTAAAATTCATCCAAATATGTTCCCTATGTACAAAATAGAAACAGCTTATAGGCCTGAAGTGCATTGCAGTTGTTGGGTTTTTTTTTTTAAGGTCATTCAGTAAAACAGTGAAGCTTAATATTTTAGCCAAAAGTCAATAAAATAACTACTGCTAAACCAACTTAAATCCTCACTCTTTGCCAAGTATTTGCACCTAGCACTTTATTATAATCAGAGTCATCTGGTATTAGTTGCACACAATTTTAAATATATGTGGAAAAAATGTTTTTGACTGGGTGAAGAGTGAAACAAAGAGTGAAAGAAAGCACAGAATACTTCCCAGAAGCCTTGACTCATGTTCTTCTCCAGAATTTCTTTGTAGGTCTGCTTTTAAGACTTCACATAGACTGTTTAAATGCCTCTGTTCCCTGTTAATAGCTCTGGAGCTGGGTACCAGGACCAGAGGCTTTCTGGGAATCTCACTGGATACTACTCAGTATCTTTAGGAAGTAAAAAAACACTAGGAGTGTGGCTTTTCTTATCTAACAAAGTCTTATCTTTTTATTATAATTATTTGTTAGACAGTATATGATTTTACTTAAGATTTTAATATAATGGATTTGTGTTAACAAACTGTCAGTTTAAAGCACTTGGACAGATAAAGCTTCTTGTACTAACAAAGCCTGCAGGCAATCTCTTGAAACATTTTTGAAGGAAATACAGAAAGTACTTACTGACAGGAATAGCCTTAATGTCTTTTAAAAGCACTGCAAACCTAGTCTAAATTGTGCATCTTACAAGGTATGTAACGCATCTTATTGTGGAAAGCATTTCAAATGGGCATTGTTTCAGTGTGTTTGGGGGCAGCACATATGGGTTGGTTTGGGTTTTTATTGTGCACACATTACTTTTAAACTCACCCTTGATCTAATAACTTGAGCGAAGGGAAGCATATAAGAAGCAAACCACAATGCTCTGTAATATCCTAATTTCAGCAATGCTAACTCCTCACACCTTTTTCTTTAGGCTGAAGCATTGCTTATCTGCAGAGATTTTCAAGTGGCACAATAATGATCTTCAAGTAATTCTTGTGTGGAGGGACACAGATAGGAAACCAGCAATTTTGCAACCCATCCATGTGGGATTCTGCC